CCACCTTTCCCTTACCCTCCTAGTATCGCTACACTCATTATTGGTCCTGAGGGGTTTATCTGTCCTGGATTCCCTGTGTTTCCAGCCCTTAGCTGTACCCATGTACATGCTCTGGTCTAGCCAGATTTGTAAGGTAGAATTGGGGTCATGATAGTGCGGAGGGGAGCATTAAAGAACTAGAGGAAAGTTGTGTGTTTCGTCGGTGCTATACTGCATCCTGACTGACTCATCTCTTCCTTGTGACCCTTCTGTAAGGGGATGTCCAATTGTCTACAGATGGGCTTTGGGTCTCCACTCTGCACCCCCTGCCCCCGCCCATTCACATTGATATGATTTTTTGTTCTCACACCATGGTATCTGCAATGACCTCATACGCACCTGAAAACTGGGCCATGAATAAGAAAGACTGGAGGAAAATGGATGCACTTGCATTAGGGGGGGTGTGAAAAACACTGAAACGACCATGGGCTGCCAGCAGAACAAACCAAACTGTCTTGGTGCAAGTGCAGCCAGAATGCTCCTTAGAAGTGAGGATGGAAGCCTTTGTCTCAGTCTTTGGATGTGTTATCAGGAGAGACCAGTCCTTGGAAAAGGACATCATGCTTGGTAAAGTAGAGGGTCCTCCAAAAAGAGAAAGATCCTCAGCAAGAGGGATTGGCCCCGTGGCTGCAACCATGGGTTCAGACATGGTAGCCATGGTGAGGATGTGTGTTTGCTGTCCATCGGGTATCCATGGCTCGGTGCTGACTGGACAGCACCTAACAGCAGCAACAAGTAGTAAAATCTGGAGCTAAGGTGAAGAAACATCAGGGAAATCCCAGCAGCTGTTGGATGGGGAGAGAAACCCCATTGAGTCACTATTATTGGGTGCCACCCAAGTCAATGTTTGACTCATAGTGACCACACCTGACATAAAAGAACTTCTCCAAAGGGTTTGCTAGCCTGTGATCATGACAGGAGCTGGTTATCTAGTCTTTTTCTCCTGGTGAGTGGATTTGAACAGCCAACCATTTGGGTAACAGCCACGTGCTTAATCATTGTCACTAGGGCTCCCTGTGTATCTATGATCGTGGATTTAGGCAGATACATCAAAAACAGTTGAGAAGCTGAAGTTCATAGACTTGACCTAAGGAGGCACCGCTGATCATTGTTTTGTGTTTTCTTTTTATGTCTCTATATCGTCTTGGACTTGCTGACTGCAAGGTTCGTGGTTCAAACCCACCAGCTGCTCCTTGGGAGCAAGATAAAGCTTTACTGCCCCCAAGAAGCTGTACAGCCTCTGAACCCCTGTAAAGGGTCAATATGAGCCAGAATTGACTCAGTAATTTTGATTTGGCTATATTTTTGCAAGTCCAGCTAAATGCTGTATTTCCCAAGCTTTTCCAATTACCTTTAAGTCTTGCCTTTGAGAAGTAGTATGGTCATATATTCACTCATTCATTCAATCATTCATTCATCCATTCATTGTATACAAGCCTCTGGATGCAAATGTTTCCTCTGTTGATTATAATTTTCTTTCATATATTTCTCCTGGACTCCCAGAATGATTCTTCCTACTTCTTCCCCCTAAAACCCTCAGAGCAAAATGCTTTTCCATCTCACCTTTCTAATCTCTGCTTCTCTTTGAAATCTAGTCCTCTCTGCCAAGGTTGAGGACCCAGTGTGAACACATATCCCAAGACACATACCCAGTCATTCTGTAGACTTTTCTTGGACTTTCCCTTATAGGATACCCATGAACACGGCATTAGTCTGGATCTTCCTAAAAGTAGATATCACAAGGGCTTTCAATGCAACACACAAGCACTTTATTAGGAGAAATGCCTAGAGATAAGCAGGTGGGAGCCAGGAGAGACCATGGACCAGGTCTGGTCCAAGTGAAGGAAAGCAGGGAAGAAGATTAAGTGGGAGTATCCTATCTGGTCAGCATCTGCTATGAGGAGCTCACTGTTAACAGAAAGGCTAATCCACCCAGGAACACCTCGGAGGAAAGACCTGGCAACTTATTTCTCAAAAAGCACAGCCATTGAAAATCCCATGAAGTGCAGTTCTACTCTGGTACCACTGAGGGTGGCATTATCTGAAATGGACTCAATGGCACTTGGTTTGACTGGGTAGAGTAGGGTTGGGTTGGGTTGAATGAGTTAGGCTGGGTTGAGTTGGTTTTGATGTATTGGGTTGGGTTGAGTTGGTTGGGATGGATTGGGTTGGGTTGGTTAAATTGGGTTCTTTTGGTTGGGATGGATTGGGTTGGTTAAATTAGGTTGAGTTGGTTGGGATGGATTGGGTTGGGTTGGTTAGGTTGGATTGGGTTGGGTTGGTTGGGTTGGATTGAGTTGGGTTGTTTAGATT